TTGACCTGGAAGAAGTGCTCCATCCATTATTTCATGTGTTTCTTTTTACTGGTAGTTCTGAAGCTAATTGGTCAAATTATTCCAGTTCTTATACCAAATGGCATGGGTAGTTATTTGGACTTTTCTAAACTCCCCACATCTGCCAGTTGTGAAGTGACCACCAGCCTGCCTACAGATCATGAAAGCAGAAGTAGGCCTCCCCAACACAAAAAAAGGTATTTTAAAATACTCAGGGGACACCTGAGCTATGCAGAAAAATATGACGGAAATCTAAAAAAAACCTTGAAGACTGAACACACTCCACTAGGCACGGAATGCAGAGAGCGGCCAACAGTCAGTTAAAAGAATGCAGAACTCTTATGTGTTTTTTTTTGGGGGGGGGGATTGTGCTGACGTCCCTGACAGAAATCAGGGGTTGGGGGGGTTCTAAAGTGTTTCCCTTCCTGCAACTCCTTGCAGATCCCCAATTTATTGTATTTTAACAGCCCAATCAAGTCTCTTCAGCACACTTTCAATTATATAGATCCTGAAATCCTGCAAATACCGTGTTTTCCCGAAAATAAGACACTGTCTTATATTTATTTTTTCTCAAGAAGACACACTAGGGCTTATACCACAAATGCATAGAAATCCTGCTAGGGCTTATTTTTGGGGTAGGTCTTATTTTCGGGGAAACAGGGTATATCTACATAACTCAATGGCTTGTACATTTTCAGAAACAAGCCCAAGGAAAATAACTAGCTATTATCAGTCACTGCTGATTTTTTACTTTCAGAATGTCAAAAGAAAAGGAGGAAGAGGGAGAAACAGGGCAGACAATAAAACCTACTACTTTGGGATTTGCCATATGCCACTCTCTTTCGAACACTGGTCTTCAAGCAGCCCATCAGAAAACCCAGTCTTGGATTTTGTACAAAGCTGAGACAGATCAACCACAAAAACATTTGACTTTCTAAAAGATTATATATACACCATAAGAAATCATGTCGCTGTCAGGGCTCCCGCCACACCTAAAACTTGGGAACTGTGGTTTGGTGGAAGTGTTAAGAGTTCTACAAGCTTTACCATCAGCCCACTACAACTCCCAGGGTTTGCTAGGACAGAAAAACCAGTCCCGTCTGTACTGTAGATACGTTCTGAGTCATACCGAATTAAAGCCAGGTCACATGTTGAAGTTAAGGTTAAATGGTAGGCCCCAGGTCTCAAAGGATTAAGATGGCTGCTCTGGCAAGACTTTTGGGAGCCTCAAGTCATACAGACTTTTTAAAAAAAACAATGAAACCACACTGTAAAACCTTTGCCACTTACCATAAACAACTAAGTCTCACTATATTTCAAATGGAGGAGTCAAGACTAGGGGTTACAATACCTCCCATCAGGGGTCATTTCCTGCAGGAGCGCACAGGAGTGGAGCTCCAGCAGTAAAGAGCCCAGGGGGCGGGCACATGCAACAAGCCCTGCCCCCTGCTCCCAGCAGCCCCAGGCCACAAGGAGCAAGAAGCAGCTAGGTAGGTTGCAGAGCCCCCACACACACACAGTTAGCAATTCAAAACAGTCCAGTGGCACTTTTAAGGCCAAGGTTTATTCAGGTACAAGCTCTCCCTCCTCTGCGAGAGCAGATCTGTGCATCCCCCCCCCCCATAGCTAGCAATCCAAAACAGTCCAGTGGAGCCTGAGCGGTGGGTGTTGCCTTCTGACACACTTCCGGTGATGTCAGGGGGTGTGGCATATGCAAATAAGTTATGCTAATGAGTTGTGCTACTGAGCTCCTGCACCTCTTTTTCTACGAAATGACCCCTGCCTCCCATGAAAGACATCCTACAGCATTCTCTTACATACACCTAGGCAGGCAAGAGGACTGAGTTCAAATTCCTCACCCCAGTCAACAACTGAGACTGGCCCAGACCATTTACCCACTCAGTTCTTATTCTATAAAGCGGGGGGTAATGGTGATGAGCTCCTCAAAGTTGCTTTAAGGCAAAACACAGTTGTAAAACACTGAGAAATTTCACAGAATGCACAATTTTCATTGTGTTGAATTGACTGATAAACGTCTTACAACTCTCTGTGTCACTATTTTCTATGTGCTTGGAATCTTTTTAAAGAGGGGAAGGAAAAGAGATACTGTAAGAATGGGGCTCCGACGAGATGCCCAACTTGAACAAATGTTTGGGGAGTTTTATTTGGGTGATCATACACACATTCTCAGGTGAATTCCCCTATCACATGTCTACCTGGCTATTCAAGTGATAAATTCAGGGTTACACACATAGATTACCCCTCCCCACTTTAGTGCTCACAATAAAACTGGGAGCAACTAGCCCAAGGCCACCCAGCAAACTTCATGACTGTGTATCAATTTGAACACAGGTTTCTCCATCCTAGTCCCATGACGACCTGTGCTGCAGACATGGTCAGCCTGTAGCTCCTTACAGCAGTGTTTCATCACACCTACCTGGAATAAAGTGAAACTGCAGAGTCCTAAACGTACTCGGAAACATACTTGGTCTTTACAAGCATAATCTGCTTCATTTTAATCTAGTGCAATGGGTGGTGTACAACAACCAAACTGGCTGGAGGGAGTCAAGGGAATTTGCGCATAAAAAGAGCAAAAAGGCATTAAAAAAACCTCACGGCATCCTCCCAACTGTAATCCCAGCTCTTTGTACGTCCAATCTGGACCTAAGAGGAGGACAAGGAAGAACCAGGGAGCGTTTTCATAGCAACTCTCTGGAGGTGATATTTGCAACTCACTCCAGCTTTCAAAGAGGCTGGAACAGAAGACAGCCCATCTGACAAAATACCACAGAGCGCAGTAAAAAGGGAACACGTTTCCATGTGCTTTCAGCTGGAGCAGGCTGCCCAATGATGGGTGGGTGATTAGGCTGCAAACCCTACTGCCAGGTTTCCACTTTGCTAGATTATGAGCAAGCAAGCCAGCCTGTAGAGAGAGGGAGAGGGGGGAAATGCATGCATTTGGCTTAAATTAGAGGCAATTTCTCCACTGGAACACATCTGCGATCTGCAACAATCACATGCAGAGAGGGCTCCTGAACTTCAGCCAGCAATTTTTTTTATTTATTTTTTTTTACAAAAGAGCAGCCACACAAGGTTAGCAGCCAGGACCAGCGCGGGCAAGCACCAGTGTTCCTATCTCCAAGGTCAACAACGAGGAGACCCAAGTGCCACTTTCAAGCCAATCTAAGTAATGAAGGGATTAATTCCTTCCTCTTCCCAAGCTTGCACAAAGTTCAGATTCCTCCGATAAACGGCTTTTACCTGAAGCAGTGGAGCAAACTAAATGGGAGGAGAAAAAGAGGTGAACACACACCGCTGTGGCAACACCTTTGAAGACTGCAGACATTAAGGCCTCTCTGGCCTCTAAAGGATAAGATATCTCCAGCCTCTGAAAAAATAGAATACTGAGGAAAGTACCAGCAAAAGAACATCTCCGTGACACAAAAATTCAGCTTCTAACAAAGCAGCATCACTCCCTCGACCAAATCAGATCCTTTTCTTCACTAAGGTCCACATACTTCTGTGCTAATGCAAGAAACAGATTCCAAAAAGCATATGGAACGAGACAGCTTACAAGCAAGTCCGGGGTTGTTTTGGAATTCGTGCTGGCACGGTGCTAGGCAATAATTGATGCACACACAGTCAACAAAAACAGCAAAATGTGATTAGCAGTTGCTGAGAGATGGGACAGTCTCTTCCTTTATAAAGCAAAGAGAAGCAAAAAAAGGCAGTAATTAGAATGGCAAAAATAACTTTCCAGAACCAACCCTGACTTGCTTTAGTTCATCTTCCTTCAACCTTTTCGTCTATTTCTAAAAATGACCACAGGACAAAGAGTGCTACACCACCTAGACAGAACACTATACTTTCCATGACACGTAGGACCTGTAATTCTATTAGAAGCCATTCCTAAGATTATCTATTAAGTGGTAATTCATAAAGTAGGAAAGGGAGCAAAAGCAGAGGATCAGAGCAAGACACTCACTGCAGAAGGTTTGGAAAACAGATTACCTTCCTAATTAAGGTATCACTGAAATTACTGTCATTGTTATAGTAAAGAGAGTTGTGCACCTTAACAATTAGCATATGGCACATACATGTCTCTAATATACATGCACACACAAGCTGAGGGGCCTGCAAGAAACTGCAGAAGGGAAAAAAATTGGAAATCCTCTAGCCACCTCAAAAATGTTTCCCTCCAGGACCCCATAAGTTTGACCAGGCTGATTTCCCCTCTCCTTTAACTGACTCTGTGCCTTCTGGAGCAACGCAAGTCCACCTCAAGCGGGATTCCAGAAGAATCTCTCTTCTGTCTTGACTCATGAAGTCATATTTGTCTGCATATTTATGGAGCTACCCAACTATGTACAGAGCCTTACTTTCTCTTTGGCTGGCCTAGTTTTTCAGCTTCCATGATTGGCACAGAGGCAAGACCCCTTTACCGCTAGTGATTTGAACAGGTACAAACAAAAGGGAGGGGTGGGGAGAAAGCTCCCAGAGACCAAACTGAGAAGTGTGAAAACTGCATAGAAAACTTAACATCCTGGTCTTAATATGGGCTAGGAAGCTCTTTACAGAAAG